TGGGAGGCTGAGGCAGGAGAATTGCTTGAACCTGGGAGGCAGAGGTTGCAGTGAGCCAAGATCGCACCACTGCACTCCAGCCTGGGCAACAACACTGTCTCAAAAAAAAAAAAAAAAAGAAAGTGGGGTGTTATTAGAGAAGTCAGCCTTGAGTGAAGTGAGTCGATCTGGTGTGTGAGCATAAAGGGCAAGTCAGTGACCTGCCTGTAATGAACAGATGGGGAAGTAGTTATCGGCGTGCTCTGGCGAGTGGGAAGCCACTTTGCGGGGCAGAAGGGAGTCAGTTTTTGGGTCCACTTCAGTAAGAAAACGTGGACAAAGATAATAGTGGTTGTGAGCAGTCGCAGGTCAGCCCCTGTGCTTCGTGGGTCTTCAATGATTTCGTCTTCACAGCAGCCCTGCGAGGGAGGCATCGACATCCTCATTTTGGGGGCATGGAGGAGCTACGCCTCTTATGTGAGGTCCCACAGTCCATGCCAGGGCGTAATTCCATTCTAGGGCGTTTTGCTGTAGAGTTACTGCTTTTAACTGTTAGGCTTTTGAAGTAAAGACCGTAGGTACCTTTGTGGAGGAAAAAGGCAGTAAAAACCAGTGACCTAGAAGTTACGCTGAGAAGTGGCCGTCCTGGGTCCCAAGTCCAGTTCTGTGGCCCTCCCTGCGCTTCAGTGTCAACTGATCATTTGCTTTCTTCCTTTTTTTTTATCCCCCGCTGAGATGAGATCTCACTATGTTGCTCAGGCTGGCCTCCAACTCCTGGGCTCAAGCGATCCTCCCACCTCAGCCTCCCAGAGTGCTGGGATTACAGGCGTGAGCCACCATGCCTGGTCCCCTTCCCTCTCTGTCTGGGAGACTCTCCTATGTGGCTGTGGGTGTGACTCTTCGTGTCCCCAGCATGGGGCCTGCCTCCTGCTGGCCTAGCACTTGGTGTGGAAGGTCAGGGCTTGGGCACCTTGGGCCCCACCCTGAGGGGCCTCTGCCTCCAGGTGGGAGCCTGGGGACCTCCGGGTCTCCTGGGGTGACTTGGATTCAGGTCTGGTGGCTGCCATGGAGCTGAAGGGGGTGGGTGGTCTTTGCCGTGGGTAGGCCCGAGGCCTTGACTCGTTCTCTTTCCGACTCTCAGGGCTGACTAAGAAGAGAACCAAAGTCCAGAAGAAGTCACTGCTTCTCAAGAAACCCCTTCGGGTTGACCTCATCCTCGAGAACACATCCAAAGTCCCTGCCCCCAAAGAGTGAGTGTCCCAGCATCCCTGGGCCCTTCTTTCCCGTCAGACTCTGCTCCTGAAGGGCTTCGGGGGTTGGGGGATGGTAGGTGAGGGTCATTTGGAGGGGAGGGCAGGCACCGGGTCAGGTTTGGGCTTTGGAGTGCAGGTTGGAGGGAGGGAGTCTGGGTGCCCTGGTGCTGGGCCGAGGCAGTGAGGAGGGGCCTGGACCCAGCTTGGGGCTTTGGGGTTGGAGAGGAGGGGCTGAGTGGGGGGCGTGTTCAGGAGGCACATCAGGTGGGTCTTGGGGCATGAGCGGGTGAGAGGGTGGACAGCTGGCCTTCCCCTGAGATGGGGATGTGGAGGAGGAGCGGGATTTCGGGTGATGCTGAGGTTGGTTTTGACATGGTGGTGTGAGGTGCCTGGGGGATGTCCAGGACAGGGCTGTCGCTTCGTTGAGTCTGGGGCTCAGAGGGGAGGGGAGGCCTAGGCAGGACACATGTGGGGAGAGGGGTTCTCTGAAGAGGAGGCGGAGTGCCGCCTTTTGGAGAGGGGGTGCTGGAGCTGCCTTAATGGTGGAGGAAGCCTGACAGGGAGGAGGCCTGGCTGCTGTTCAGGCCGCCACCTCACCTGCTGCACTTGTGCCACCTCTCCCCGACCAGCGTCCTTGCCCACCAGGTTCCTAACGCCAAGAAGCTCAGGCGGAAGGAGCAGCTATGGGAGAAGCTGGCCAAGCAGGGCGAGCTGCCCCGGGAGGTGCGCAGGGCCCAGGCCCGGCTCCTCAACCCTCCTGCAGCCAGGACCAAGCCCGGGCCCCAGGACACCGTGGAGCGGCCTTTCTACGACCTCTGGGCCTCAGACAGTGAGTGACCCTGCTGTCACCTGCAGATGGGGACAGGACTGCCATGTGCAGTTGTGTGTGTTGTGCACTGCACGAGAGTACAGTGTGAAAGGGAGTGCCCTGTGCTTTGGTGACCTCCCAGCAGAGTCACACGTCCTGAAGGGGCGGCTGTTTCCTACTCGTACTTTTCCTCTCCTGAGTTGTGAGGCTCCTGCCTTCAGCTTTGGTCTCCTCCACTTTCTGAACCCGTCCAGACACAGTTTTGTCCGGGTGATCAAGGCCCCTTGGGGTCTAGAATCAGTCCTGCCCTTGCCTGAGCTTCAGGGTCACCTTTTTGAAATGGGGAGGGATTGGGGGGAGCCCTTTGTGCCTCTTCCATGCTGGGACTGTCCCAGCAGCTCCCCTCGCTGTATCCACAGACCCCCTGGACAGGCCGTTGATTGGCCAGGATGAGTTTTTCCTGGAGCAGACCAAGAAGAAAGGAGTGAAGGTGAGACATGTGGGAAGGGCGTCCTGGGTGACGGGAGGGTGAGGAGGGCCAGGAGCTGCTCTGTGTTCCTGCAGTAGAGTCTCAGTCTCGGAACCCTTCTATCCCAGTGGCCGAGAACTCTGCTGGAGCCAGGTGGCTGGGATTCCTGTCCCGGTTCCAGTGCTGACTGATCCTGGGAAGGTGGGCTAACCTTTCTCTGACTTGTGTCTTCCTCTAAAATGCAGATGAGGGCCCGGCATACTGGCTCACACCTGTAATCCCAGCACTTTGGGAGGCCAAGGCAGGTGGATCACCTGAGGTCAGGAGTTCGAGACCAGCCTGACCAACATGGTGAAACCCTATCTTTACTAAAAATTATTATTATTATTATTTTTATGACGGAGTCTCGCTCTGTCGCCCAGGCTGCAGGCTGGAGTGCAGTGGCACAATCTCAGCTCACTGCAAGCTCCGCCTCCTGGGTTCACGCCATTCTCCCACCTCAGCCTCCCGAGTAGCTGGGACTATAAGCGCCCGCCACCTCTCCTGGCTAATTTTTTGTATTTTTAGTAGAGACGAGGTTTCACCGTGTTAGCCAGGATGGTCTCGATCTCCTGACCTCGTGATCCGCCCGCCTTGGCCTCCCACAGTGCTGGGATTACAGGCGTGAGCCACTGTGCCCAGCCACTAAAATTATTTTGGTGGCACGTACCTATAGTCCCAGCTACTAGGAAGGCTGAGACAGGAGAATCGCTTGAACCGGGGAGG